CCCCAAAACCCCAAAACCCCAAAACCCCAAAACCCCATTATATTATTATTCTGAGAACTATGTGATAATATTTATTTATATATTCATTAATAATAATTCCCAGTAAAAATAGATAAAATAAACTTAAAAAATATCGAAAGGATATAGTAAAAGTTAATCAACTAGATCAATTGCCCATAATGAGATAAGTCCATTTATCCTTAAGAGAATTACCTAAAAGTTGACTATCATTTCTCATTTCTAATGGAAACACTAAGATTGAAGATACGTTATGAAATGTTTTTTCAGCAAGTATAGCTAGTCAAGTTCTTATGGAAGCTTCACATGTCAACTGAACCTACTTTTCTCTTTCATTGGAAAAATTATAATGCTTTTAGCGCAGTTTCTAAAAAAATTAAGTTCATAGAACTCATACATGTCTGAACCAATCCTCAATTACACTGTTCTACAAACGGTTAAAAGTATATATCTCCTACAATTTATCTATTCAATACCAACAATCAGATGATAACATTAATAGATATTTAGTAAAAAAAGGTACTTAGTGGTATTATATTCCACTCATGTTTAGTAAAAATAAGATCATTTTTACCATCTTCAAGACTGTTTGTTAAAAAACCAATACTTATTATGATAATGTGGTTCATTTACAACTTGAGGTATAAATGCCTAAAGATAAATATTTCTTAAGAAATTTAGCATATTATAAACTCCTTTCCTAATTTGATGATTGCTAAAAGGAATTTCCCAATAGTCAGAAGACAATTGCACTTAAAATATCTACTCATCAGTTTTAAGTTTGAGGGAAAGATATCAATTTACTATAAAGGATGATATAACATATCATTAAAAACTCTTATTTGGCGCGATAGTGTGCAAGAAATTGCTCTAAACAAATCTATGGGCAAATAAACAGAATATAACTGTAAGAATATTAATTGTCCTAGATACTAATAAAATAGAGTTCACTATAGAATTATGTAATAAGACCATTACTGAGAGGATAATTCAGATTCATAAGCAACTAAAGATGAAAAAAAATTAATGATATAAAATCTCAAGATATAATTTAGCAAGCAAGATTGAGGATCGATGACTTTAGTATTAAACTAGTAAAAGATGGCAGATACCTAAAGTGCAAATAATCTCAATAAAATCTAAGTTCTTTAAGCAATTATAGTAAAGAAACTATTTATATACTACATCTCTTTTTCTTAATGTATTTTAACAATAACTATTTACATGCTATACATAATTTTTTATGAATGGGGTTTTGGGGTTTTGGGGTTTTGGGGTTTTGGGG